TAACAAGTGAAATATCCACTAAAGCAAAGCTTAAGTATATAACACCAACAAACCGGAAGATGACACGACTTACCAAAAACAAGCCGGTATGGAGATGATCCCAGTGGTGTCTTATAGGCCGTGCGATAGGCCCAAAGTGCGTCATCGAGCTTCAACGACCAATCCTTCCGATTTGTGCTCACCGTCTTCTCCAAGATATGCTTGATTTCTCGGTTCGCCACCTCTGCTTGCCCATTCGCTTGCGGGTGATAGGCTAAGGCCACTTTATGCTTGACGCCATATTTCGAAAGAAGCTTCTCCATTAATTTATTCACAAAATGAGAACCCCCATCACTGATCAAGGCTCTCGGGGCCCCAAACCGTGTGAAAATATTTTTCTTCAGAAACTTGAGAACAACAGCGGCATCATTGGTGCTCGAGGGAATTGCCTCCACCCAACGAGAGACATACTCAACTGCAAGTAATATATACCGGTTTCCACATGAGGAAGGGAACGGACCCATGAAGTCAATCCCCCAAACATCGAACAACTCGACCTCGATCACATTCGTCATAGGCATCTCATGGCGTCTAGAAATATTGCCCATCCTCTGGCATCGATCACACTGGTTCACAAAAATATAGCACTCTTTATATAAGGTCGGCCAATAAAAACCACTCTGTAATACCTTTGCTGCAGTACGAACTGCTCCAAAGTGGCCTCCCGTCGGTGAAGAGTGACACTGCTGAAGAATTCCATCCCATTCTTCTTGTGGAACGCATCGTCGAACGATCATATCGGCACACCTCTTAAAGAGAAGAGGCTCATCCCACATATAGAACTTCACGTCGTGGAGAAAATTCTTCTTCTGATAGAAGGACAAGTCCGGGGGTAAGACCCCGGCCACCAAGTAGTTGACGATGTCGGCTTACCAAGGAAATTTTGCCTCAGCCATTAAGAGTTGCTCGTCAAGAAACTCCTCTTTAGTATCACTGGTGGTATCGGCCTCCTGCCGTTTATACTCAAGCCTCGATAAATGGTCCGCCACCACATTCTCGCAACCTCGACGATCTCGAATCTCAACATCGAACTCTTGTAGTAAGAGAATCCACTGAATCAAGCGTGGCTTAGCATCCTTCTTGTCAAATAGATACTTGATTGTTGCGTGGTCCGTATGCACTATCGTTTTGGTGCCGATCAAATAAGCACGGAATTTGTCAAAGGCATAGACAACAACCAACATCTCCTTTTCTGTGGTTGTGTAATTTTGCTGGGCTCCATCAAGTGTCTTG